TCATATATTATTATGAGAGTGAACTGATTCTCAAGTTAAAAGTTATAAGAATTATTTGTTTTAGTTTTTTGCAAATTAGTTATTAACTCCAATTAAACAGTCAACCAAACAAATTAAATATTTTAGATTATAAATAATAATAATAATTAATTATTAACCATAGTTAAACAATTAATCCAAACAGCCACATAATTGCAAACCCCAATGGCTAATTGTGTTTAATTTGCAACTGCAAATTTGCAATCTCATTAAATAAATAAATAAATAAACGTTTGCAATTGCATTATGCACAACAAAACATAGCCCACCAACAAATATAAATGGGCCGGGATTTAGAGAAAAAAACAGGGCCGAACAAGATGACGTCGTTTGTATCGACGTTAACTAGGCCCAAATCAGCCCAAGCAATATCCCTCACTAAAACCCCTTTAACCGCCGTCCACCATGCCGCAATGACCACCCACAAGCGCTGGCCCCTCGGGGCACTCCGCCGTGCCGTTTCGCGGTCTTTCTCCTCCTCTTCTTCCACTGCCTCCACCACGACTGATGCTGCCTCAGCAACCTTTCCTCTCAAGAATGTCACTAGATCCAACTTTGATTCCGTGCTATCGGAGCTGCGCTCCCATGTTCGAGCTGCCGACTTCGTGGCGATCGACCTGGAGATGACGGGCATCACCAGCGCACCTTGGCGCGAGTCCTTCGAGTTCGACCGCTTCGATATCCGTTACCTCAAGGTCAGAGACTCCGCCGAGAAGTTCGCCGTCCTTCAGTTCGGAGTCTGCCCCTTCCGCTGGGACCCACTCAAGCAGTCCTTCATTGCACACCCGTTAGTCTCTATTTGCTCTTTGCTTGCAAGCTTCCATTTTTACAGAATTGTTTTACTACTAATCAAGTGTTAGAATGAGATGAAATGAATTGAGTTCCTGAGCTGCTGATTTTTATCAATTGGGTAGTTGGAAAAAGGAAGACTTTTGCTTATATTATTCGAAAATGGATTAGAATGGATCAATGCTATTTTCCCTGAGTTTCTGCCTTCAAATGAATTTGGCAGGCACAATTTCTTTGTATTTCCTCGTCAAGAGATACCCCTTGATGGACAATCTTATGAGTTCCTCTGCCAGACATCATCCATGGATTTCTTGGCTAAATACCAGTTTGATTTCAATGCATGCATAAATGAAGGTATTTCAACCTTGTTTTTTCATTTTATGTTGTAGTGTTAAAGTTTGGTGTTTTCCAATTAAGAACTGTAGGAAATTGTTCAAATAGTGGTTTCTAAGCTGCCCTCAATTTGAAAATTCAAACTTCAGGAATATCTTTTTTATCCAGAAGACAAGAAGACGAGGCACTAAGCCGATTGAAACTTGGATTGATGGATTCATGGCAGGGCTCAAGTGAATGTACAGACTTTCCATTGGTCCGAGTGGCAGATGTTCTCTTCACTGAGAGGATGAAGAAAAAGTTGAGTGAATGGCGTGATGGATTGTTGCAGAATAGAGATGGAGGTTTGCAATATCAAAGCCATTCCAATGAATTAAAACAGCAACTTCAAACAGTTTTCTTCGAGATGCGTCCAGCTCTTTCTCTGACTGGTTTTACTTCTCATCAGCTTAAATTAATTAAAATGGTGAATACTGTTTTATCATTACTTCTATCTGTAAAGCCAGCTCTTATCTTACCTTGTCCCTTGCTTTTTAACTCTTATTTTTATTTTTATTTTTATTTTAAATCTTGTTTTATATAAGTCCAGCTTCACTAATGCAGAAAACTGTTATTGGCTCGTTACAGTTGACAAAGAAACATTTCAAAGACCTTGCTTATGTTCATAGGAGTAATGAAATTTCCTCACAAGAACTAGTAGTTTATACTGACTCAGAGAGTGACAAGGACTTACTTATGGTAAGACACACTGCATGATATGATTTTGCTAAAACTTTGGACTTATAGATATTCAATCAGATGCTGTTTTGTGATTTTGATAAAGATGTAATTGATATATGTATATTATGTGGGTAGGTTTTCCATATATTTCTTTGATGTGAAATACTATTTAATGTGCTTGGATTGTTAAAGAGGTTTGCGTCTTTTGGTGATTTGTGCTATTGTGAAATAGTAGAAGGAACCTAAAAGATGCATTTTTTGAGCTCCATTTGCTACTTCTGATGACTCTTTGCTCTGACGTGGCCTACCTTTTGCAGAAAATGATGAAGGATGATCATCGCAAGCAGGCACAAAGGAAGATCAAAGATGCAGTTGGGTTCCGCCATGTGGTTGATCTTCTTTCATCTGAAAGCAAGTTGATTGTTGGTCACAATTGCTTTTTAGGTAAGCATGTCAATGTTGAGTTTGATAGGGGGTTATGTCAGTTGAGTATATCATTCAGATGATTTTCATTGGTGATACAGATATTGCACACATATCCAGAAAATTTTTAGGTCCTCTTCCTCCGACTGCTGAAGAATTTGTCTCCTCTATTAACAAGTACTTACCACACATCATTGACACCAAAATACTATTAAATGCTGATAACATATTACAACAACAAATGAAAAGAGCAAGGACAACATTATCCTCAGCATTTTCCATATTATGTCCAGAAATCGCTCATGGCTCTAAAAGTTCCATCTTACCTCATCAACCGTGTGTTAAGGTTGAGGTCCAGGTGGATGACTTGAGGTATGCTTTCCTCAATTTCTCTAAGAAAGTATTAGCTGGATGTGTTCAGTTCACTTGGCACTCTCTGTCCACTATATAGATCTGTCAAGTTTTCAAATCTAAATTCATATGCTTCATGCAACTGTTGTGAGGTGTTGTTAAATATTTAGTGGAAGATCCCCCAGATTGCTGTTGTCAACTGGCCATGTTTTGATGGATATTGACATACATTTTTTTTGGGTAGGGGCAATGTGCTAAGACTTGAGTGTTTAATTTACAGGTCCTCCAACTGGAACTCTGGAGCAAAGCATGAAGCTGGGTATGATGCTTTTATGACAGGATGCATATTTGCCCAGGCATGCAGTCATCTGGGTGTTGAGTTCTCACCTTCCAGAAATTTAGCCCAGAATGAAAAGCTGCAAAAGCACATCAACCTTCTGTATCTGACTTGGACTAATGGAGTCATTATTGATCTAAGAACAGGTAATAGGATTGCAGAGTCTTTGGGTGCCAACCTAAAGAAGTTCCCACCTATTTTATTTGAGAATATCATTTTAATCTGGGGATTCCCATCTAAACTGAAAGCTAGAGAGATAAGAGAATGCATCTCCAAAGTCTTTGGTCCTCGTTCTGTCACTGCCATCTATCACATAGATCAAACTGCAGTGTTTGTTCAGTTCAGCAAGACTGAATTGGTCTCTGACTTCCTGACTTTGAAGGAAGTCTTGGAGAAAAACAATGATCTTATAACAGAGTTGCATCCTCTTTCAAAACTGTTGGAAGGTGGAAATACTGGCGCTGCTAGCTATGAAGCTTATAAAGAGATATGCAGTTCACCCATCGCAAAGATCTTGTTTGCAGATCAGGCAGAGGCAGTTGGTATTAAATGGAAAACCAAATTGTTAGTGCCACAGGTTGAGGTAGAGACTCAAGAGCATGCAAGTTCAAGTCCAGAAAGCACGGCTAAAACTGAATCGGATGTTGCTGGCGAATCAGAGACAGCCAAGGAAGTTGGGGACAGTGAAGAGAATAATCCACCATGTGGAAGATTCATGAATGGTGAAAAGAATAATCCACCATATAGAAGATTCATGAGTGATAAGATCATTGATTCACTTTTTGCCGATGAAGTTAAACATATTAGAACTGTCAAATACTAATCTGAAATAATTTCCTAAGAGCAATCTGTATTATACTGATATTTTTCTTATACCAATCTTAGGATAGAAGATATTTGAATGTAGATCTGTTATTCGATGGCATTTTCATTCTTGAGCCATCTTTTGTACATGATGAAATTCTTCGTTCGGCATAATATTAATTACTTATTTTTATCAAAACTATGTTTATTCTGGTGAAATTAGTGGATTATGAGATTATTTTCCCTTTCTTGTTGATATGATAAAAACCAACAAAAACAGGCATTAGAAGCAACAAAACCAAAGTAGAAATGAAACTGGTAATGTCATAACACAAGAAATAAGGAAGAGAACAACCTAATAATTAAGAGCAGTCATGAAACACAAGCTACGAAAAACAAGAAACAAGATATCAATCACCCCAAAACTACATCAACAGATAGAGAACGACCAGCATCCCAGAAAGAGCAGTCAGGAAATACGAAGCAATGGTGAGCTTGATAGTGGAGTTCACAGGAGGAGGGCCCCAGAATGAATCCCAACCATCCCCATCCTCCGAGCCACTCCCTTCTGGTGAAGCTGCAGGTTGTGGAGCGTTTGTTGCAGGATGCACCATCACCCGGACAATCAGCCTCTGGCCTGCCCTGCAGTGATCTGGTTGCCCACTTATGAAGTAGAAAAACCCGTATCGATCAAACTGGAAAACTGTTTCTCCGTCTTCAAATTTAAAGACTGGATGCGAGACACTGCATTCCTTGTAGCTTGTCTTGTTCACCACCAGGACTGAGTCGTTGCTGTACTTGAAATCTAGTATCAAGAAAAAGAGAAAAGTAGCAGATTCATGAAATTCTCAGAAAATCTAATTGATTTATCTGAAGAAACAATCTGTTCCTAAGTCCTAACCCACCAACATTAATGTAAGTGGGCCATTAATGAAACATTTTAAAACATGAAAGCTTTCTTAAAAAAACAAGATCATGTTGTACTCACAGAGAGAATCTCCAACATGGAACCTATTTCTAGAAGCCCAAGCATTGTAATTCTCTGTTTCATTCCCTGTTGGTTTGGTCCATCCATTCTTTCCACCAACATCGAACTGAAACGAGGAAGCAAAGACAGAGATGATGGAGGTCAAAATCAAACAGAAAAAAACAGTTGTTGTAGTGAGAGAAAGGGAAGCCATTTCTGGAAAAGTTCAAGAACTTTGTCTGGGGGCTGGCTGAGGATGAAGAGAATCGAATGCAAAACTGAAAGGAAAAACAGAGACGTGGGCTCATTTATTTAGTTTAAATTGCGGAAGAGTGATGGAAGTGTGGTGGCAGTTAAGTTAGTTAAGTATGTCATGTCTGGGGAACAGGGGAAGTGGGGTTGGACGGTTAAAGTCCAGTAGTCCCGTTTGACTCGCTCGTGTCTGGTCATAGTTGTGCAATGTGTTTGTTTAAAAATGTGAATGACTTAGACACGGTACATACATATATGGATCAAACCAGACATATTAAGGAGTGAAATGGAACCATTATTCACTCT